TAGCTTAAAAGTATTCTTCTTCTGACTAATAAATAAAAATTAGGAGATGTAAGACTCTAGTTACTAAGCAATTAACACCGAGAGAAATGCATGTTTTACATTTAAGAAGAGTTAGGGAAGAATGGGAGGAGGAGAGAAGAAAACAGAAAAGGATAAAAACATAAAACACTAGCATAAACCATAGAAAATATTATTTTCTTATCTGTGCCTCAATTTACTAAATAGAAGGAAAAAACAACCAACTTACAAGTCTTAGGTATAAAGTAACCTAATTTCATCCTAATTTTATACAGAGGAAGGCTAACTTTATTTAGGTGTGAAGATACATTACTGAAAAAAAAAAAAAAAAAGCCCAGAAATAAACAAAACCAATTCTATGTACAGTATTGTAAACCTAGTTACTGACTAAAAGTGCTAGAAGTAAACACAGGATAAGGAGTAAGCATGGTTATCCACAGCTGTCTGGACCTGCATGCCAGCCTCTGGGTAAGGAATTCTCAGTTTGCATATGGTTTGACAATTGCTCTGTCATTAATTAGTCACCCTGAACATCAAGGTGGAGCACGGATTAGAGGCTGCCAACTGATTATCTAGCTTTTGGCAAGGCTAAAGTAGGAAGTCATTCTATCCTCTATGACCATTAAGAGGACATTTTAAAACATAAATGTAAACTGTATTCATCTTAAAGACTGCAGTAGGTAAATTTGTTATTTTGCTTAGTCCCTTCTTTGGTCATCCTCTTCTGAAAAACAAGTATATTAATTTCAGTGTACTCAAAGATGTTGGCACTTGTATACATACTGAGCTATTTATACTGTCTCTTTAAAGAATTTACATTAAGATATTAAAAAATATATTTGGGTATGGTGGCTCACACCTGTAATACCAGCACTGTGGGAGGCTGAGGCAGGAGGACTGATTGAGCCCAGGAGATCAAGACCAGACTGGGCAACATGGCTAGACCCTGTCTCTATTAAAAAAAAAATTATCTATATACATGTCTCATGAGATAACACTTGCACTAGAAGGTTAGAGTTTAGCTGGAGCAGCTATGTTTGGTCATGTGAGAAAAGAAGAAACCTACTGGTAACAGACGGAGAGAAGTAGAGTTGAGTGGGTCAACCCTAACCTTAGGTACTGTCTTTCTAGTTCCAATTCTAGTGTCCATATGGTCTGCTATGTTACATTTTCTGTTCTTCAAGACCAGTTTTATTTACATATATGTACGTATGTATCTGTAGGTACATGTGTGTATATATTTTTTAAAAAACAGTCTTTTCGGTTTGTGTGCATGTTATGTAAAAAGTCATATATAAATGGCTTAAATTTACACCCGTGTCTTTAAGCAGTGGGACAAACCCACAAGCCCAATGTCACCCTGTACGCTGGCCAAAGCTGCACACCTCATACACCTCTAATAAATTCCACTACTTAAGCTAGCTTGAATAGCTGTGTACTCTTGACAAACCAAAGTATTATTTGACCAAAAAAAAAGAACATATTCAGACTTCCTAAAATCACAAAAGTAGGTATCCTTTTAAAAGAATTATCACTGAAGTAATACTTTTGTTTTTACATTTACCTATGTCAAAACTCACTTACATGGAGTGGAAATTCAGTTCAATTCAAGAATAAAATACTGGCTGGGCACGGAGGCTCATACCACCACCTTGGGAAGCTGAGGAGGGAGGATTGCTTGAGACCAGGAGTTCACAATCTGCCTGGGCAACATAGTGAGATCATATCTTTACAAAAAAATTTTTTAAATTATCCAGGTAAGGTGGTATGCACCTGTAGTCCCAGCTACTTGAGAGGCTGAGGTGGGAGATCACTTGAGCTTAGAGGGTCAAGGCTATAGTGAGCTGTGACTATGTGCCAATGCAGTCTACCCTGAGAGACAGAGTGAGACCCTGCTGTCTCAAAAAAAAAAAAAAAAAAAAAAAATCCCACAAAAAACACTGAGAGCCTGAAGCCTGTGTCCTGTTAGACCCAAGATTTCATCCTGGGGTTTGCCATTGATAGTCTGTATCATCTTTTTTTGAAATAGGGTCTCACTGTGTCACCCAAGCTGGAGTGCAGGGACACAATCAAGGCTCACTGTAGCCTTGACCTTCCAGACTCAGGTGATACACCTCAACCTCCCAAGTAGCTGGGACCACAGGCATGTGCCACCATGCCCAGCTAATTTTTGTTATTTTTTTTTTTTGTAGAGACGGAGTTTTGTCATGGTGCCCAGGCTAGTCTAGAATTCTTGGGCTCAAGTGATCTTCCCTCCTTAACCTCCCGAAGTGCCGGGATTACAGGTGTGAACCACCACGTGCAGCCTAATCTTGAGGCCTGTGGCTGGGGCTGTAGGTATGTATGTAACTACACAAACATACACACACACACACACACACATATATATAAATAAATAATCCCTGGCTTTAGTTATTGACCTTTTTTTTTAGTTTACCAGGCAGCCTATGTGACCACTGGTCTGCCAAAAGGGTTTAAGTACTGAAAGTAAAATAAGCAATAAACTTCCGACCTGCAGAGAAAATACAAAAAGAATTATTTAAACATAAAAATGAATTATTTCATTATTTAAACATAATGAATGAATGAATGAATTACTTAAGAATGAAATGCCTCCTTGGATTCTTAACGGCAAAGGAAGAAAATCCTAAGCCTAATAAGACATGCCCCTTCATCTGAAAAGATCTCAGAAAGCTCAACCCAAAGTTAGGTATAATCTCATAAAAAAGCCTCTGAGTGTTGATACAGTGCAAGAGAGATGGGAGATTCTTAAGGAAATGAAATTCTGATTATATAATCACAAACAGTCCTAAAGAGATGAGAAAACAGTTAAAGAAATCAACTCGATTTTTCTGGGAACCTCAGATTTAACTATACATACAAAAGAAGACAACTAATTATGAATACGAAACATTGGTATGAACCTGTAAGAAAAGCATCACAAAAGCTTAAGCCTGAGGTTTCCAAAAATGCTAGTAAAATAACAACAACAACAACAAAAAGTAAAGCTATGCTTAGAACAAGAAAATAATCAGTTAGGAGAAAGATAAGGTTAACTGATAACAAAGAGAAGAAAGAGTTCCTCAAAAACAATTCTGCCTTTGTCTTTCCCATCTGTAAGTATGGCTCTGGCGGGGGCGGGGACTGAAGTCTGTGACAGTTAAAGAGGGTACTAGAACTCAAGTTTATTTAAGCATACGGAAGACTCTACAAATTAAATCTCAAGGTCTTGAAAAAAACTTCAAATACAAAAACATTAAAAATAAAACAATGCTGCCCTGATTTTGTTTTTCTTTGACCACTTATCCTCAAGTTCTAGCTGCCTTGATTTTCAAAAAGGAAAGGAGGACAGGCTATATAGAAAATATAGAAATGTTAGCTTAACATTGGTCTCTTAAAAATTTCTAGAAGAAGGCATCAAGTGTGTGACTTCTAAATATTTGGAATTTAAAAAGCCAATACTAGGTGCTGAGTCAACAAGTAGGTGAGAAAAATCCAAATTAACTGAATTTTCTTTTTTGACAACATTTTCAATAAGTCTAAATAATGTCTGGCAATGGCAAAAAATCCTATGGCAGTGAACCTTGCTTTTTAAATGATTGCCTTGTAGTGAGAAGTGTATGTGAGACAACAGTAGAAGTAAATTCACAGTTGCTTAAAGAGTTCTTTCTGAAGCGTAATAAAAACAGCGTCTAGTAGTGAGACAACCACAAGGTTTATCTTTGGTCATGTCCCAGTCAATATTGTTTTCAGTGACCATAATGAAGATTAGGAAGCTTATTTATTTATATGATAAGCTAAAAGGGACAAAAAAATTCAAAAATTCAAAAAGATTCTGCTAAGTTGGTAGAATGAACTTAAACCAAAAAATGATACTTCATAGGAATAACCACGCCTGCATTTAAGTTTAAAATATAATGTCTAAATATATAGACAACTGTGAAAAGAGCTTGTTTAGTGGTAATTTATATGAAAAAGAATTTTATATTTTAGCGATTTAGACTGAGTGAATTTGTTCTTAAGAACTTATGAAATTTCATACTGTATATTTGAAGGTCAGAATTTCTAGAAAAAATTGTTTTGTGAGCTACTGAAATGGCCAATTAATGAGCTGAAGTGTGAACTTAGCTTTCTCTGGGAGCATTTTAACGTAATTTTAGGAGTCTTTTGAGACCCACTCAAACTGCAATGACATCTCTAATATTTGTAAATCCAAATCATATAAAACAGTTGTCTATCTACAACTCTCAAAGACACAAAAATCAAAAAAAGAATTCTATATTGAGATTTTTTTGGGGGTCAATTTAATATTGATCTGAAAGAACAAATGAAATTAGGGTAACAAAATTAAAGAACTTTCTTTCTAAAGATACTTTTTTTGTTTTTTGAAACCATGTTCTCTGCTCTAGAGAACTTTCAGAAACTTGCCTTCCTTGAAGGCTTAGGCACAGACATTACCTACTAAAAATAAAGACTACGTGTCGGAGTATCAGATTCACTCTTCTGCATTTCTCCTTTATGCCATGGAATCTTTACTGAAAGTAATGATAAAATGAGAAAGCGAAGGTCAGAAAAATTTAATCTATTCTCATAAACTTTTTGACACTATTTCAGAGCTGCTAAGCATTTGAAAACTCAACTGATACTGAAATACTCTGACACTTTTACATTCTCCAAATAATCTAAGCCCTAAAAACAAAAAACACACCACTTGGCAGATTTCAGTGTATTAATAAAATACACAAAGACACCTTAAGCTAAACTTTATAAAAAGACTTGATTAGCTAGGAATATTATATAACATATTAAGAGACTCATGAAATTCTATCCTACCATAAAATATTAAAATGTACAACTTTTAAGGCTTTAATGGGAAAAAAATCTTTTTTTGTCTCTTTTATCTATTCTAATGCCAAATTATTTATAAAGAAGAAATCTCTAGGAGCAAAAGCAATAAGAACATAAATAATTTATATACATACAGAAATGGAGAGTCTTCTGGAAAGGAGTTTTCATATGATGTGGAGGGAAATGCATTGGATTTGTTTTCCTGTTCATTCTGAGTCACAGGCATAAGATCTACACAAAAAAATACACATGTGAGCAATAAATATACCAAGTTAAAAACTATTTGCTGTAAGTACCAAGTAATATGTTCATTGACTAAAGTCTGCCCATATGGAGCCCTAAAATTTGCAAACATATTAAGGTTTCAAGATTGAGACAAAATATTAGATGTCAATGTTTTCAAAAATATTAATGTAATAGGATAAAACACTGAGGACAGAAAATGTTTCCACTGTAGAAACTCTAGTTTGGCCCGACCTTGATTTGAAGCTTAACCAGTCTTAAAGGTGGACACTGAGTATCCCTACTTCTGCATGCAAAAATCACATTAACTCTTAAAGGCTCTATAAAAGTCAGAAAATGAAAAATTTATGTACCCTTTGTTTTCCTATTGCTCTACAACTACTTTGGGGAGGGGATGAGGTATCTTGGTATTTTTTGATCTGCTTGTTCACATTTCTTCTTTTTTTTTTTTTGAGACAGTGTCTTACTCTCTCTATCACCCAGGGTGGAGTACGGTGGTGTGATCTTGGCTCATTGCAACCTCCATCTCCTAGGTTCAAATGATTCTCCTGCCTCAGCCTCTCCAGTAGCTGGGATTACAGGCATGCAAAACCACGTCTGGCTAATTTTTGTTTTTTTAGTAGAGACAGGGTTTTACCATGGTGGCCAGGCTGGTATTGAACTCCTGACCTCAAGTGATCTGCCCACCAAGGCCTCTCAAAGGGCTGGGATAACAGGTATGAGCCATCACGCCCAGCCTCTTCTTGTATTTTTTACACTTAATTTTATCTCTTTTCTTGTCTCTTTTTAAAAATATTTCATCTATTCTTACTCTCAGATCTGCCTATTGAAATAAAGCTGTGTATTTAATGAAAAAAGTTAAGGATTTCTTGTTCTTATTTTGAGAAATGGATATGTGGAATATTCTATAAGAAAAACTTCCCATACACTTTTTCTTACACACTGATGAACCTTAAGAAAAAAACTGATTCTTAACCTGCCTTAGATTATTATCTTGCAGTTACAAAAAATTACTCAATATTTGTTAAATCACTGTGAAGGTAGATTTTATTCAGGACCATGGCAATAGGTATAGGAACCACACAATATGATTATGCAGTGAAGGAGGGTGAGTGAGCTCAATTCCAAATTGAGCATGGGCAAGTAGGAATTTATAGCCAAGGAGCAGGGTGGGGATCAGTGGATGGAAAATTACTAAAAGGAAACACTAGGGGGAAAGCTGGATTCTTACTAAACTGACCTTGCTAAAACTAACAAGATTCTTGCAAAACTAACAAAATTCTTGCTGAAGGTAGGCCAGGGCGATCAGACATCACCTGGGGATGGTGAAGAATGAAGAATTTGATCATACTGTGGGTGATAAGATATTGAGTGTGGGGGGGTTCTTGCTAAAAATAGATTTTACAAAGGAAAAAGGAAGTACAGTATTCCTCCCTCATATTTGGGGAATTATGTTTCAAGATCCCCAATAGATACCTGAAACCTTGGATGGTACTGAACTGTATGTGTATATGTGTGCACGCTATGCTTTTTCCTAAACATACATGTCTATGATAAAGTTTAATTTATAAATTAGGCACAGTAAGAGATTAACAAGAAAACAGAACGATTATAACAATATGCTATAATAAAAGTTATGTGAATGTGGTATCTCTCTCCCTCAAAATATCTTCTTGTACTGTACTCACCCTTCTTTCTCTTGTGATCTATTGATCTGATCAACAAGACATCTACTAAGTGACTAACAAAGGGATGATTCACATCCTGGGTGACATGAAGCGTGACAGGGTGAGATTTTATCATGTGCTACTCAGAAACTGCCATTCTGAAATCTCACCCTGTCATGCAATTTAAAACTTATGAATGTTTATTTCTGAAATTTTCCATTTCATATTTTGGACCATGGTTGACCTTGAATAACTGAAACCACAGAAAGTAAAATTGTGCATAAGGGGGCACTACTACACCCAGATGCGCCAGGGAATAAGTTAAGGAGCCTGACTAAAGTTTGGTCAAGTAAAGAAACTTTGTCATCACGTTGCTTTTGTAGCATGGACCAGTTTTACTAAAAACAACAAGTTTAGATGTGGCTTTTTAAACTTTAGCCACTTAACAAAAATCTGCTTATGGCACAGTTTGCCTCAAATGCTCTCCAAGTGTATTTATTTATCTTTTTTTTTTTTTTTTTGAGATGGAATTTTACTCTTGTTCAGGCTGGAGTGCAGTGACGAGATCCTGGCTCACTGCAACCTCCACCTCTCATGTTCAAGCGACTCTCCTGCCTCAGCCTCCAGAGTAGCTGAAACTACAGATGTGCGCCAGCACGCCCAGCCAACTTTGTGTTTTTAGTAGAGACGGGGTTTCACTATGATGGTCAGGCTGGTCTCAAACTCCTGACCTCAGGTGATCCATCTATCTTGGCCTTCCAAAGTGTTGGGATTACAGGCGTAAGCCACCGTGCCCAGCCCGGTATATTTGTTTTCCAATAAAAAAAATTATAACTTACCTCCCGCCTCAAAAAAACTTTAAGTAAATAAAAGGATATTGTATTTCAACGCTGCTCCTTGGCTAACTGAAAAACAAATATCTGTCTTTAATTTTCCAGGTAAAGAAAAATTTTAAATCTGACAGCTGAGCCAAGCACAATGGTTCATGGCCGTAATCCTAGCACTTTCGAAGGCTGAGGTGGGAGGATTACTTGAGGCCAGGACTTCAAGGTCATCCTGAGCAACAGAACAAGACCCTGTCTCTACACACACACACACACACGTCAGGCTTGGTGGTACATGCCTGTAGTTCTAGCTACTTGGGGGCTGAGATGGGAGCATTGTTTAAGTCCAGGAGTTGTAGGTTGCAGTAAGCTATACTTGCACCACCGCATTCCAGCCCGAGTGACAGAGTCTCTAAAAATAAATAAATAAAAATAAATAAATCTGATAGTTGAAGAGAACTACGTAAAAAGAAAATAAAACTTCTTTTTACATAGGCCCTTCCAATTTATTATGCCAAAGGGAAAAGTTAAGTCCTAAAAGATGACTCGTGTAACATGATTATTTTTTTCCTCTGGTGCATGATCACTGCTTTCTGACTTACGTTGAGATGTTATACATTAACTAGACTCCCTATTTTTTTTTTTTTTCAAAGAGACAAGTTCTTGCTCTGTCATCCACGCTGGAGCGCAGTGGTGTGATCATAAGCTCACTGTGACCTTGAACACCTAGGCTCAAGCTACCCCTTCCACTTCAGCCTCCAGAGTAGCTGGGACTACAGGTGTGCAACTCTACACACCTGACTGATTTTTAAAATTGTTTTGCAGAGGTAGGATCTCACTATGTTACCCAGCTGGTCTTGAACTCCTGGCCTCAAGTGATCCTCAAGGTGGCAACCTTGGCCTTCCAAGGTTCTGGGATTATAGGCATGAGATACCACAACCAGCCAAGACTCCCTATACTTTATTCAAACCTAGTCTAAATTATACGGAGAAAGAGACCCTTGTGACTGTTACCTCTTTACAACAGAATGTTAGACAACCCACTTACAGTATAATCAACAATAGCCAATCAAATATCTGCATGTTACCCTTTGTATGGAAAATGCTGTAATCCTGTTACTCACCTCTGTTTTGCCTATATAAATAATCCACATTTCTCCCCACACCAGAAGCACTTATCACCATTCTTTGGTGTAGCTCTGGTCCCTGGATGGCCACTCTTACACCTTATACCTGAATAAGCTCTCTTTAAATTAGATTCTGACCCTTTTATTTTACATTCACAGCTATAAGTGATTAGAAATTAATTTCAGAAATTTCCCCCAGCTAATATATTTGCATGAGTTATACAAATCTATATTAAGAAATATGAACAAAACAAATGTATATAAACATAGTTGGACATAAAATTTACTGGAAAACATGGAGATTTAAAATTAGTCATTAGAAAAAAGAGAAAAAGTTCTACATCATCAAGCAACATAAACATAATTAGTGGTTTGATGATATCCTGGGGAGTCTAGGTTGGATTCAGGACAGCTTGTTTCTACCTCAACACAAAGTTCTTTTGCTTCTCTCATTCTCAACATTTTTTTTTTAAATAAATGCTAGCATGAAACTTTTTATTTTATGTATTTATTTATGTTTTTGAGACAGGGTCACTCTCTTGCCTAGGCTGGAAGGCTGCAGTGCAGTAGTGTGATCCCAGCTCACTGCAGCCTCGATTTCCTGGCTCAAGCAATCCTCTCACCGCAGCCTCTTGAGTACCTGGGACCACAGGCACATGACACCATACCTAACTAATTTTTTTTATTATCTGTAGAGATGAGGTCTCATTGTGCTGCCCAGGTTGGTTTCAAATTCCTGGCCTCAAGTGATCCTCCCCACTTGGCCTCCTAAAGTACTTAGATTACAGGCCTGAGCTACTGCGTCTAGCCCTCATGAAACTCTCTTGCCAAAAGGTTTTTAATTCTTAAATTTGCCAACAATGTCAATTATATAACTCTCCCCAACTGTTTTCTTAAAAACACTTCACCACTAGCAACTAAATATACTTTTATCTCGATACATTTGTTACATTTAAGATGAACAAACTATGTGAAAATATGAAATTATATTCAGTATTTCTATTGATAAAACTATTACCTTAAAAGACCCCAAGCAAAAACCAACTTACTTTTTGTGGGGAAAAAAAGTTTCTTCAGAAAGAAAAAAAATGTTTAGAATTAGTTACTTGTTACCACTTTTCTTGAACAAGTGAGATTAAAAGCCTCTCTCTTGCAAAACTAAATGTAATCCCTTAAGGATTGTCCAGATGACATAAACTAGCATAAAGATTATTTTGAACTGAAGACATCTGAGAATAAACAAATACAGGAAGAGGCATTCTTTGGAGTTCCCTTATCTGTCTAAAAATAGACCCTCACAAAAAATGAACTCAATTGTCATAAATCCCCTCCCAGAAGTTTCATCAACTGGGAATGATTTCATCTTATCAGGGAGAGCAGATGAAGTCAGTACTATACTCAGACAGACACTGTTAAAAACTTCCTACTTATTCTCCTAGGACCCATTTCTCTTTGAAGTCATTTGTTGTAGGAAATAAGAATAAATAAAAGGTTCCTCTTCAAAGCTTTCCTCTTAGTTCATTATGAATAAATAATAGTTTCTTCAAAGGTTAATTTATTTTAAAGCTTTTGCTTTAAAGTGTTAGTCATAATGAAGAAAATATGTGTATCCAGTGTTCTTAGTTCATATACTTTAGCCTAGATATTTGCCCTGACATGCCTGGAAGTCTTAGGTCATACTTTATTTCCTTATTTGGAAATGTTATTGCTTCTCTAAGCATTCCTCAAGTTATTTCCTCTTTTCCTTTGTCCTCCTCTGCCTTTACCTCTTTAGAAAAGTTTTAAGTTGTTGGACAACTGGGTGCAGCCTAAACTGTGAAGTCCAGTTCCAGCCAATGGAATCAGGACATAGCAGTAGGGTGGATGTGTTAGATATAAATGGCCCTGCCTCCTTTGGTCAGGGTCTTCTTGTGTCAAGATGGCCAGTGGGAGTACCCTTTCTGCAGAAAGTGAAGTTGCTTTGCTGAGGAAATTAAATTGATATTCGAGTGCTACTTCTTTTGTGGCACTGAAAATTCACATATAACATTTGTTCTTTCCAGAAGTGCCTCTCTGCCCCCTCTTTCACGTATAAATGTGCTCTCAAATCTCACCACTGCTTTGGGCATTCACTCCTTTCTGTGATGCTCCTGTGCATATAAAATTAAAAGTTAACACATCTGTATGTCTCTTCTCCTGTTAACTGTCTTCTATCTTTCATTACAGCCCTCATCCCCCAACCACTGAGATAAAATTTTTTCTCCCTTACAATTCTGAGTGTTACTGAAGTATACTGTAAAAGGGAGACTGTTTTCTTTAAGAACCTACTCTTCCAAAGCTGTTCAAGCAGAGTAGATGGCAATATTATAAACATTATAAAATAATTGCAAACCTTCTTAGAAGACCAAGAAGTTTTATAAAATCTTTAGGAAAGAATGGGCCAAAGGCAGCTAGTTCCTTTATCTAGAAGCTTGAAGAATAAAGCAGTTAACAGGAGATTGCAAAATAATTTATCTTAATGGCTTATTGTCCTAAAACCAACCTTTGCCCATCCATGCTTGACTGCCTTCTACTCAGTCAGCCGAAGTTTATTATCCACAAACAGTGTTTGCTTTAAGCCTCAGAACCTAGCCTTTAATCTTCACCCCCTAGTAGTGTTAACTCAAAGCCTTTGTCATTAAATATGTGCTAAATAAAAGCCAAGAAACCCAGTGTGTTGAGGCCAGCAACTGTTAACTCCTTCAAGTGAGTAGCCACAGGCACCCCTAGCCCACTCTTCCACTGTATTCTGTGTCTGAGTGAATTTATTCATCCATCATGGGGGTTGCCTGTCAGACCCTGACACAAAACTATACTGTAGCTTACGAAATTGAGAATACTTTTGAATACCAAAAGGTTTATTTAAAATAGCCAGTGATGCTAGTGTTATATTTTCAGAAATTTAAAAGCCTTAAGGCTCCAAATTATAAAAGACAAAAATTATTAAAATTGACAACAGTATTAACAAAAATCTAGTAAATATTGTACTTCCTCAAAACTTCAGCAAATGTGTGATAGACTAAGATTTATGGCATACTGATTGATTCTGCTAAAAGAGCTGCTAAGTTTTTCTTTTTACAGTCTTAGTACATGTAACATCATAAGAAATATATATTTGAGGCCAGGTGCTGTGGCTCAAGCCTGTAATTCCAGCACTTTGGGAGGTCAAGGCAGGAGGATCACGAGGTCAAGAGATTAGGACCACCCTGGCCAACATGGTGAAACCCCGTCTCTACTAAAAATATGAAAATTAGCTGGGCGTGGTGGCATGCACCTGTAGTCCCAGCTACTGGGGAGGCTAGGGCAGGAGAGTAGCTTGAAACCAGGAGGCAGAGTTTACAGTGAGCTGAGATCCTGCCACTGCACTCCAGCCTGGCAACCGAGTGAGACTCTGTCTTGAAAAAAAAATAAAAGGAGTATGTTTTTGGTTTCTGCCCTGCCCTAGCTCCTGACATAATTACTAAAACCCTTATAATTGTGAGGTATAAGAGGAGCATTTGACTTAGTCCCAGTTCCTGACATAAGAACTTCTGAGACCCATGGAATCCCCAGGAGTGGTAATAGTGTCTTCTGTATGCTAATGAGATGACTGGTGAGAGGTGAGGTGCCCCCAGACAGCTTCAGAATGGGGGCTGGTAAGACCAAGACACTTCTGACAAAGTCATAGTTAGAATTGGAACTTTCATCCCTACCCTCTCCACCCCCATATTCAGGGAAAAGAAAGAGTCAGCTTGAGCAAATCACCAATGGGCTGATGACTGAATCATGCCTATGTAATGAGATCTCCATAAAACCCCCGAACAACAGGGTTCAGAGAGCTTTCAGGTTGGTCAATGCATCTATATACTGGAAGGGTGGTATACTCCAAAACTCCACAGGGACAGAAGCTCCTGTACTCAGGCCCTTCCAGACTTTGGCCTGTGTACCTCTTCATCTGGCTATTCATTTGTATCCTTTATAGTATCCTTTATAATAAACTGGTGCTTCTGTGAGCTCTATAAGCCGTTACAGCAAACCATGGAATCTGAGGAGGGGGTTGTAGGAATTTCTGATTTGTAGCCAAGTCAGTCAGAAGTACATGAGGATCAGGGATTGTGACCAATGCCTGAAGTGGGAGCAAGTTGGTGGGACTAAGCCCTTAATCCGTGGGATCTGTGCTAACTCTGGGTAGTAGTTAGTTGCAGAACTGAATTAAATTTTAGGACACAACATCCATTGGTGTCCACAGAATATTGGATAATTGTGTGGCACGAAAAACCCACATTTGGTATCAGAAGTTTTGTGAGAAGAGAAACAGTTTTTCTTTAGTACATTATCTTTGATCCTTCTAAACTGATTTAGTTAGAGCTTGGAAGACTCATGGTCTAAAAGCAATCTAGAAATAAAAGATTTACAACAACTTATCTATACAAGAATATACCTTTCAAATTATTGTTCTTCACAGAAAGTGGATATATAGTGTTAGAATTCTATTTGCCCTCTTTATATGAGAAAGTCCTCTCTTTCCCAGAGACAACACATATTTGTTAATTCTTTCTCTAGGATGTTAGCTGGGTATGCATTTACTATTTCTAGATGGGTAGGAGTTTTCATTTAATAGAGGAAACTGATTTATATAACTTAGAAATGTGGATCTTAAGATTTTATTTTAAATTATCTTTAATTAGCCTGATATATTAAGGCTATCCCGCTTCATGGCAAAAAAAAAAAAAAAAAAAATCAGAGAATACTATAGATTGGAAATAGAGATGAACATACCCTTTACTGATGTTGAACTGTTACTTATAGTTGCTTCATTCACCAAAATCATTGCTTGGATATATTCTGTTAAGGAAAGAAAAACAGTATCACCATTACCTTTATTCATGGCGCGAGCTACTGTGCCAAACGATTTACATATTTTATCTCATTTAATCTTTACTACTCCTCTGAGAGGTTAATAGGAATATCTGCATTAGAGACAAAAGAAACTGAGGCTTAGAGGTTAAGCTATTCATTCCAGTACATTCAGCTAGGAAGTAGTACAACTGGATTTGAATCTAGATTTATCTGACTCATGAAGGATTGAGAAGGAACATTAAAATGAAAAACAGTGCCAATTTTTTTGATAAACACATAACAGATTAATATCATAAGAACATCCAGAAATTAAAAATAATCTGGAGAAAAATTTGCTTCAAAACCATATGTTCTGATGGAGTGAAGGAGGATTCCATCCTAAATTCTTATGTTCTACAATCAACCCGGATTGATGATAAACAAACAGAAAAAATAAAAACTTGGATGATCTGAACCAATTGCCTATGGAGAACACAAATTTTGCTTTCAGAAGACTGGCAGAGTAAGTTCTGTTTAAAGCAGGTAAAATGAAGTTATATGTATTTTTACACATACATATGAAATTGTCACTGTCTCTGATTGTGGACTCTGAATTCAGTTGTCTCTGAATGTGGAGTGATAAGTTTTCTTGTTATTTTTTCTGTAAGTGCCAAATGTTATAGGAGCAGATATTACTTTTGCAATATTCCTCTAAAAAAAAGATAAATGGGGGAAAAAAGTAGCTTGAGATAAAAGAAATAAATCAGTAGGTATTATTCACAAGTAATTATATCCACTTACTTTTACAAACAACAATATTGGAAATAGAATGATACTGTACTGCCAGAGAGAAATATTTGAGTATTAAACATATTCAAAATTTTTATTGCTTCATACCTTTATTGGTGGCAGACCCATTTTTGATCTTTTGTTTCAGTGACTGCAACACATTCTGTACTTGTTCAAATATGAAGTCCACTTTTCCATCATCTTCTAGCTCCATCCAGAAAGTTTTTGCATCACCTAAAATAAAAATAAGTGACTAGCCTAAGAGTTTAATAGAGGAGTACTGTAATTTACCTAAGGGACATGTTATAGAACAATTGACTTGTTTTCTAAATAAGATCAAGGCTCAATTGGTCTATCATTTTCCTTGAGGAAAAAGATTTTAGTAATGTTTCCTTACAAAGAGCTAGAAACAATATGATCCAAGTATCTCACCCATTTCTGTTGTTAAATATATATTGAAAATTTGAGTGACACTATTTCTTGACTAGAAAACAGAAGGAAGACTTCACTCAAGAGTGGTTGTGGGGTATATGTATAGATTATACAAGCACTTTTAAAAGTCTTAGGGATATAAGCTCTACTGAGTTGATTTCAGAATGAGACATATCGACGGCTGCTGAAATAACTAAGTGTCCAACAATATTGCTTTTTTAGTCTTCTATGTGTTTAACTAAATGAAGCAAATTAATGTTTAAAGTTTTACAGATAAAGTTACATAGATTGGTCAACATTTCTGATGCCCAGTAAACTAATACTTTAAAATTTTCCTAAAGAAACAATCCTTTCAAAATTTAAAATAGGAGAAAAACAATTAGAATAAATTGGCAAAAGCTGAATTTCAAATGTCATGTTTAAAAGCAACAAAAAATACCTAAAATGCTAAGCGTAATTCACTTATACAATGTTACAATTATTAAAATTAACTAATAGGGCTTTAAGCAAAGGAAAGCCATAGTAATAACTGCATTTTAGGAAGGTCACTGGAGTAGGCACAGGTAGGATTAATGAGCAGAGAGCCCACATGGTTTACAAAAATTATGTTTTCCTTAACACAAATTAAACCCAGAACCTCCAAGTTTGGCAAAGAAGGGAGAATCTGCATAATGGGCTTAGGTATCAAAGTCTCAATTCCTGCTGGGAAAGTCACCTTTCCCAAGGGGGACTTCTGGCTAATTAGTGCTGCTGCCAACACAGTGGCCTCCAGAGAGGTGTTGTTTTCCTACTAATACTCTCACCTGATGTAAGACTAAGCTTACTTTCCATTCCCCATAGCACAGCTCAAACAAGATTTCAAGATTTTAAACAAGAGCAACGTGAGAGGACATAGCGAGACCTCATCTCTACAAAAAAGTCAGCCAGAAGAGGTGGTACTTGCTTGTAGTCCCAGCTACTCAGGAGACTGAGGTGAACGGATTGCTTGAGCCCAGGAGTTCGAGACAGCAGTGGGCAAAAGGAATTAATCTTTCATTGTAGAATTTTAGAACACAATCAGCTTAATGAGCAAAATATTTTGTGACGCAGGGCTTTCTCAGGGTGCCTAAAATAGTTAAGTGTTACACTGATGATCAACAAAAACCACTTCTAGGCAAAATTATTTTTCAAAGCACTTTACGGATTGTTAATGTTTCCCTTCACAGATAGGAATCAATACTCCTTACTAGGGATTTATCTTTTTTTTTTTCTTTTATCTTTATTAGAGGTGGACGTTGAGATGTATTTTGAAGTATTTTCAAGTATTTAAAAATAGCTTTTGGTACATTAAAATATTCTGGAATCACATATAATTCTGTCTTGGAGTGAGAAAAAAAGCAGTGATGCTGAAAGACAGCAATCAGGACTCAATAAATTTTTTTTTTAATCATTTTAAATTGTCTTAAAGGCTAGGTGTGGTGGCTCATGCTTTGGGAGGCTGAGGCAGGCAGATCACTTGAGGCTAGGAGTATGAGACCTGCCTGGCCAACACGGAGAAACCCCATCTCTACCAAAAATGCAAAAAAGTTAGCTGGGCTTGATGGCACATGCCTGTGGTCCCAGCTACTTGGAAGGCTGCAGCATGACAACTGCTTGAACCTAGGAGGCAGGGGTTACAGTGAGCCGAGATTGTGCCACTGTACTCCAGCCTAGGTGACAGACAAAACTTTCTCAAAAAAAAAAGTCTTAGAAATGACAATACATGCTACTAAATTATTCTGGTAGAAAATACTTAAAATGAATTATTTAAAAAGTAAACAGAGTAAATGCTCAATCTTGGAACTGATTAATAAAAAGGACACTGGTTATATAATTCAAAAAAACAAAGCCAATCAAAGAAAATACTGAAATAATCTGCTTCTACAATAAATGAATGTAACTAAGCAATTCATATTTATTTGTTCTGGGTTTTAAATAAATACATTATTCCTTGTAACATCCTTATTATCTCATATTGCTAGGTTTAATTATCATTAAAATGGCCACTTGTTCCTAATGTTTTCCTTCTTGATCATTTTTGTCTTGTTGCCATGAAAGCCTTTAACTACAGTAATATTTAGAAAAGAGGTAACCAAACTTTCTGATAAATGAAACTAATAGATCCAGTTAACAAACTTCTGTGTACAGAGACTGAAGGAGTATCACAAGAAACATTTGGGTGACTTTGGTTTCGACTGTAGACCTAGTTACTACAATATAAACAATTTAATTTCTTGCTCCTGATCTCCACTTCTTTGTTCATTGTATGCATGCTCAGCACTATACCCTAAAACTGTAAATATTTCAGTAGATTTTACTAGAAGATATTTACAAGGAATACTGGAGTAGGTACTTAAATTGAAGAGCAATTCAGGATACTAATATTGCTGCTATTTGCCTCCAGAAATGAAGACTATCATCTGATAACTTCATCATCTATTCAAACTCTTTTTTATTTAGCCAGTTATGACTATTCATTGCAAGACCATAAGCAATGCTATTCATTGCAATACCATGAAGCAAGATGTATAGCAGTCTTGTAATGAAGGAAGTCAATTAAATGGTATAGTTATACTATGCCTACCAATCTCACTTTAGACAGTCTTTGTAAATAGATAATGCTCATGAATACTGATCTGAATTCATTTACTAGATGAGTATTTATAAAATACCTACCAAATACATTAATAATGACCTCAGTACACAGAAACATATATAGTAAGTAGCTTTAGGGTATTGGTCTAGAGGAACTCTAAGGTATCTTTGAGCCTGTGATTAGCAAAATGTGATCTGTGGACCCACAGGACTCACCAAATCATTTCAGAGAATACACAAGGACAAACTATTTAAAAAATAAAGGACTACTTGAAAATTTTTAAAAATTAGGAGAAACTATTTAAAAAATTAGGACATTTGCTGTTTTTATTGTATTGACATCAACCAATAGTACAAAGGCACTGGTGAGTAAAACTGCTAGTGTCTTAGCGTGAATCAAGGTAGTGGCATCAAACTATCAGTAAGTCATTGTAATATTCACCACCAATTTCATCTAAGAATATCTTTAATGAAACAAATGATTACAATCATTTGTACAGCCATTATAGTATAATGGCTATCTCAAGGAAAAATACTAGTGGGATTGTTCAACTTATAAGCTAAACTACCTATTTTTTTTTCTTTTTTAAATGAAAACCATTTTTACTTAAAAGAACCACTGATAAAACTGTAGCTTTCCAGATGTGGGAGTCTGGCATATGAGCAAAGTAAGTCTATCACTTGAAGGACAAAACTGACCATATTTGTTGCTAATGACAAAATTCAAGCTACAGAACAAAAATGAGAATTTTGAAAACCTGGTATCTGTCATGGCAAAACTGAAAGTTTCTAAAGAGTTAACTGCTTTTAAAATGAGATCAATAGCAATATTAACAAATGTGATTTTAAAATTGTATGATTAAAAAATGTGTCAACGTTTGGAAGATATGCATAATTTACTGAACCAATATTTACAAGTGGTCAATACATGATGTAAAATCACATATGGTTAAAGATCTACTCAAAGTACAAGATAGACCAACAGATTTTAATGTAACAGTGTTAAAAAACTCAATGATATGTCAGATTCCACACTGCAACTAACCTTTAAGGAATGACTACTTGTTGAGTTTTGGAGTCAACAAAGAAAAAAATCCACAATTAGATGAAAGGCTATTAAAATACTCTTCTTCTTCAGCTTCTTGTCTGTGTGAAGCTTGTCTTTCATTCATTTCAACCAAAGCAATGTATCACAGCAGACTGAATGTAGAAGCAGGTATGAGAATCTAATAAGCCAGTTATTAAAGGTATTTCTATTAATGTAAGACAATGCTATCCTTCTCACTAATATTTTTGCTTTAGAATATAGTTTTTATTTATATTTTCAACATGTTAGATTTATTTTCTTAATAATGAGCCGGCTGGGTGCGGTGGCTCATGCCTGTAATCCTAGCAATTTGGGAGGCCAAGGAGGGTGGATCACCTGAGGTCAGGAGTTTGAGACCAGCCTGACCAACATGGGGAAATCCTGTCTCTAAAAAAAAAGAAAAAGAGCCAATTTTTTTTGAAACTTCTTAGTTTCAATTTCTAATACAGTAAGTATCAACAGATATTACCCACATAAACAAAAGCTCTTTGGGTTTTTAAATACTCTAAAGAGTATAAAGTCATCCTGAGACCAAGAAAAAATTTGAGAACCACTGGCTTAGATCAGAGTCTGGTGAAATCAATACTATCATCTGTATAACAATCCATACATTATGATTATGTTAAAAGCACTAAAACTATTGTGTATGATACTGTAATTATAGATGCATGACATTATGTAGTTATAAACAGAATTTTAAAGAACAAAGAATGAACTTTAATGTATATAAATTTAAAAAATTATTTAGGATGTCAGGGATCTCAATAATGAGTACAGACTGTGAAGAAAATCTAACTGTATTACAAAGTATAAACAACTTCACTAAGGGCTGGGTGGAAAAGGTATTGACCTAAGAAACTGGAAATGAGTGGGTCTGTAAAGATAAAGGCAAAAGAAATGCACATACTTACTTACTTACTGTACTCTAATTGATAAAGTATTTTCCCACTTGGGAATGGGTTAACAATTTTTTTTTGAGACAGTCTTGCTCTGTCACCCAGGCTGGAATACCGTCGCATGACCTCAACTCACTGCAATCTCTGTCTCCTGGGTTCAAGCAATTCTTATACCTCAGCCTCTGGAAGAGCTGGGATTATATTACAGGCATGCGCCACCTCACCCAGCTAATTTTTGTATTATTATTATTATTATTTTTATAGTAGAGACAGGGTTTTACTGTGTTGATGAGGCTGGTCTCGAACTCCTGGCCTTGGCCTTTCAAAGTGCTGAGATTATAGGCATAAGCCACAGTGCCTGGCCAAGGGTGTTATTTCTGATACTGCCACAAACACACACACACACACACTGAAATTGAACAATTAAGTAAATGGATGATGGGTGATGGGAACTAAGCTTTTTTACTACTGGAGTGGGAATATACAGATAAGGAGAGGAGACTAGAATGATCCATGTATGTGGTAATAGAGTTGGAAACATCAGCATAATTTCATTTTTAGCTTAATGCAAATATAAACAATTACATATAAAAATATTTATAGACATGTATATATATGTATAACATATATATATATGTTAGTATACATATATACGTCCTTGCTCTGCCAGCAGAAAGGCCCTATAAACAAGGACACTCCAGTAACAACAGATACACCTACCATCCTGGTTTCTAATACCATTTTCCAATAAAAGTATCAACAGGTTATTTAAGAAATGACTCTAAGATGGACAAGAAATATAGATGAACCTAGAGCAATCTCTGAGTGCCAAAAAAAATTGAGGAAGTGCTATAATACAAAGACAAATAAAAAATACCTACGCTGATGGGGGTATATCAAAGGGACACAAGAGCCAACTGAGCCGGATGTGGTGGCTCACTCCCGTAATCCCTGCATTTTGGGAGGCCGAGGTGGGTGAATCACTTGAGGTTAGGAGTGCGAGACCAGTCTGGCCAATATGGTAAAACCCTGTCTCTACTAAAAATACAAAAATTAGCCAGGCGTGGTGGCAGATGTCTGTAATCCCAGCTACTCAGGAGGCTGAGGCAAGAGAATTGCTTGCACCCAGGTGGCAGAGGTTGCAGTGAGCCATGATTGCGCCACTGCACTCCAGCCTGGATGACAGAACGAGATCCCATCTAAACGAAAAAAAAAAGCCAACTGAAAGAGCTACCAACAGCCAAACCCAGGACAATTTGAAAAACAAAATAAATAAAGTAGTACTGACTTGTAACTCAAAGTATAAATAGCCATGAGTCCATGCTGATATAAATGATTAACTGAATAAGTACATGGGAAAGAAGAGAAAGAGATAAATCTCCCCTGCAGAAATATTCCAAATATAATTCACGTAGATATTCCACACTTAAGGAGGGGGAGCATAAATCCCCTTTCCTTAAGTGTGGGCTGCCTATAGAGATTTATTTCCAAAGAGTACAGCAGGGAACAGGAGAAAAAGAGTAACTTTACAGTGGAGAAATTTGGTAACACCACCTACATTTAACACCACGTACATTAGCCAGCTCAAGCTCCATTGATCAAGCTCAATATCAACTTTGAGAAATTATGCTGACAGCATGTACCCTTGATATGATGTAATGAAAATGACATTTTACCCCTGAGGTTACTCTCTCCAAAACCCATAACTCCAGTCAAAATATGGGAAAACATCAGACAATAATTCCAACAGAGGGGTATTTTACGAAATACTTGAATACAGCTAAGAGGAGCCTAAGCAGACATGACAAGTAAATGTAACGTGGTGTCCTGGATGGGATCTTGGAATGGAAAAAGACATCGGGCAAAAACTAACGTGAATACACTATGGACTTCAGTTAATAATGTGCTAATATTGCTTCATTAATTGTAACAAATGTAGCATCCAAATGTAAAATGCAAATCATAGATAAATCTGGGTAGTAGGTTTACTGGAACTCTGCACTATCCTCTCAATTTTCTGTAACTCTAAAAGTTTTTCAAAAAATAAAGTCAATATTTTAAAAAGTACACTAAAGTACTGACGAGCATTACTGATTCACAATTAATGATAAAGATAGTCAAAATTAGTGGCTATGAGAATAAAGCTTTAATTCCAATTCAGAAAAGTCCCTTGTAATGCAAAACCTTGAAAATTCCTCATCAGCTTAGATTGTCTATATACTTTTAAACATAAAGTATAACAATGTGTTCTTCAACCTACCATTTTTTTCTCCCATCTTTTGATGTTTATAAATATAAAATGCTTCAAAATTAGGTCTATCAAATCACTTTGATTGAAGAGTATCACTGGAATCCAACTGTGGTATCTATGAAATTTGCAGTCCTCAGACAAAAGACATCAGTATACCATTCTAAACCTGATATCCTTTGATACTTGAATTTTCAAATAGAAACTGTGGCTGAAGAAACTTTCAGAAATGAGTGATAGTCCAACCAAAAGACAAGTCCATGCATCTTCATCACGTGAATATTTGTAGTGGTATCAGATCGTTAACATTATCTTTTTAAAAATAAAACCAACTCCATCTTTTGGTCCACAAATGTATGAAACATTCTGTAAGAAAAACAATAAAGAATAGTGTATATTTGTAAAGGACTATATATATGTGTGTGTGTGAAAAGAAGATATAGTTACAACAGTTTGCTCTTCTAAAACAGCATGAACCATTACAAAAAACATGTTACCTGGAAAAAACATGTAAAGTATCAAAATTAGGAATATTAGAGGAGGCTCACCCATAATCCTACCACCCATATTTAATACATTTGTTAATATTTACATTACTGACAATTAGACTATCTCCATTTTATAAGTCCTTTATAAAAACTTTAATGGGGATAATAATATTAACTACCTCACAGGTTGTTCTGAAGACAAGACTTAATTACACAGAATAGTGCCTGACACATGAAAGAATCAAGAAATACTACCAATTATTGTTATTCTTTCAGAATATAGTTTTAAAACAGAATCTGAATTTTAGTGTATATAATTTTTAAATAATTTTTCATTAAAAACATTTCCTGCATTTTCCTCCATCATTTGTATTTCTGTATAATACAACTGGCTGTACAACATACTTTGGTTAATAACTCATACACTATAGTATATTAAATATTTTAATGAATTAATGAGTAATATAAACCTCCATATTGGATATTTAGATTGTTTTCCTTTATAATTATTAATTTTAGTATAATGCTAGAATAAATAGACTTTATATAGATCTCTGGCAATTTCCCTAGGATAACATACCCAGAGATAGATTAGGTCAAAAACAGATAAACAATTTTAATTCTCAAGATGTTAGCCAAGATATGGTAATATCCTCTACCACTTCTACACCAAACCAAGGAAATGTTAGATTTAAAAAAAATATATAGCCATCTGAAAACCAAAAGGGAACTCTCTAAGGGCAAAGTCTGTGAGGCCTTTCTGAGGAAGGGAAACAGATGGGAAACTATGGAGATGATGCCAACCACAATCACAGCAGCAAAAGAACGGGCAGGAATCTTCTCAAAGGAGATGAATGCACAACTAAGAGTCCTCAAACATCTTAAGAAGAGTACACTATGAAAGAGATTGAGCTAAAGAAGGAAATCTCAACCACAAAATAATATACAATTTTGGAGAAAAGAAAAGCCAATTAGATATCTTGGATATAAAAATAGTTGTTAAAATAAACTCAATAGATGACTGAATGACAAAACAGACTCACATGAAGAGCCAGTTAGTAAACTGGAAGGCTGAATTGAGTAATTCACCAAGAACACAGAGCAAGGAAACAGAAGGCACACAACTGAAAATGGAAAGGAGGTAATAATGACCAAGAATTTCTCAGAACTGGAAAACACATAAGCACACTGAATCCACTGAGTGTCAACCAGGATAAAATTCTTAATATACATCACCAGACAAACCACGACTAACTTCAGAATATCAAAAACACAAAGTCTTAAATGTTTCCAGAAAAAATGTAGATTATCTAAAAGGAAGGTATATCAGACTAGTAATGAGATTTCTCATCAGAAATGTCAGATGCAAAATGTTAAAGGAAAGTCAGTAATGAACCCAGAACTCTATATCCAGCCAAGCTATCTTTCCATACTAATGATGAAAAAGACATTTACGGACATTCAAAGAGTCACTCAGAGATTCTGTGAAAGAAATAAGCATCTGATGATGAAAAATGAACCTATAAGAAAGCACTGAGGTATAAGAAGCAATACTGAGTAAATAAATGAGTAAAACACATTAATGTTCAATATAGATCAAACTGAATTTTAATACCAAATGAAACACAAATTCTTGAAGATATCCTGAGAGATTATGCCCTTTTTTGGAGGAGAGATGGAAGGGATTGTTTTAAGATCAGAGAAAGCAAAGTAGAAGCATGCTAAATTATTATTTACAGGGGCCATATCAATACTAACTAAATGTATACTTTGTTAGGAAAACATAAATTTAAGTACTGTGTTGAAATGTAAAGTTGATCTACTAAAAGAAAACTGAACAAAAAGAAAACTTGCGGCTAACCTCAGTAAAAATAAAAGTGATCCCAGCACTTTGAGAGGCCAAGGTGGGTGGATCACCCGAGGTCAGGAGTTTGAGATCAGCCTGGCCAACATGGCAAAATCCCGTCTCTACTAAAAACACAAAAATTAGCTGGCTGTGGTGGTGCACACCTGTAATCTAGGCTACTTGGGAGGCTGAATCAGAAGAATGGCTTGAACCCAGGAGGCGGAGGTTGCAGTGAGCCAAGATCACGCCACTGTACTCCAGCCTGGGCGACAAAGCAAGACTCTGTCTCAAAAACCAAGTGGAAAAACAAGATATAAAAGATACAAAGAGAAGCATGTTAAATAATGACAAGAATATGGCCAAAATATGTCAATCACAATAAAGGTGAATGTGTTAACCTTACCTACTAAAGGACAGACTCTCAGATTGGATGGCAAGCAAAACCTAGATACAATGTTTTAAAATAAGAGACCCACTTAAATTACACAAAATGTTATGCAAGGTTGAAAATGAAGCATCTGGAAAAAGACACATCTGCAACTATAAGAACACAAATTCCTATCAAATAAGAGTTTAATATGAAAATCATTAAAAGACACAAATAATTTATGCTGACAGAGCAATTCACCCTAAGATTTAACATTCATGAATCTTTATGTACAAATAACATAACTCTGAAATATATACAGCAAAATTTAAATAAAAGGAAAATGCACAGATCCACAATTTGGTAGGAAAGTAACAAATCTAAGAAACTAATAGATAAAGTGGGTAAAAAATCAGGGCATAAAGGATTTAAATGACATATAAATTAACAAGCTTAATCCAAAGAATGTACAGAACCTTGCACCCAACAGAAAATACTTTTTGTGAGAGGAAAAGCATGAAATTACAAAATCTATATATAAGACCAAAAGGAATTATCAACAAATTCCAAAAGAATGTTTACACAGAGCACAGTCACTGAGTATAGTAAATTAACCCCCCACCCCACACTACCTGTGGAAACTAAAAAAATCAAATTTCCCAAATAATATATATCGTTTATAAAAGAAATCAAAGGAGAAATTTAAGAACACTTATAAATAGTGATCGGTTGAAATAACACATTTCAAAGCCTGAAGGATTCTGCCAAAGCAGCATGCCAAGGGATATTTAAGCCTTAAATAAATTTTATTAGCAAAATGAAAATACTGACTTAAACATTCAACTAAAGAAGCTAGGAAAAGAACAATAAAATAATAACAAATATCTCTCTAGCTACTGAAGAGATTTTTAAACATTTTAAAATTCAGACAATTTTATGCCAGTGAACCTGAAAGCAGAGACAAACTGAAATTTTTTTTTTTTTTAAAGATAGGTATCACTATGTTGCCCAGGCTGGAGTGCAGTGACTATTCACAGGTGCGATCCCACTACTGATCGGCACGGGAGTTTTGACCTGCTCGTTTCCGACCTGGTTCACCCCTCCCTAGGCAACCTGGTGGTCCCCTGCTCCCAGGAGATCACCATATTGATGCCAAACTTAGTACGGACACCCGACAGGCATCGAGCACTACAGCCCAGAACTCCTGGGCTCAAGTGATCCTCCTACCTCAGTCTCCTGAGTAGCTGGGACTACAGGCATGTGCCACCAGACCCGGTGAACTGAATTTTCTAGGAAAACATAAATTACCAAATAGGCTCAATAAGTAAAAATCCAAAAGTAAGTATAAAAATAAAATACTGAAGATATTACCAGAGATGTGTGCCACACATCCCCACACCTCACTGTTAGTGCACTAGGTCCATAAAGTTGTACAGATGAATTGTACAAAACTTTCAAAGAATGGATAATTCTTATCATAGACTAACTACCCTGAAGCAGGAAAAATATGGGAAGCTACTCAGCTTTTTTTATGTGATAAGTATAACCTTGACATGCAAGAAAAAAATTCAAGGCCAAAATTCACTACTGGGTCTTAGACAGAAAAATACTAAATAAAGGTATCCAGCAGTAGCCAGAATACCCAAAAAGTTTAACACGAAAATTTATCAATGTGAATTCCTATATTAACAGACAAATGGAGGAAAACTATTACTTCGTGCAGAAAAACAAAATAATTCAATATAAAATTAACTATTCCATGGAGGGTGGGGGGTCCCTTAGCAAATTAGGAATAAAAGAGAACTTTCGGCCAGGCGCAGTGGCTCATGCCTGTAATCCCAGCATTTTGGGAGGCCAAGGCAGGCAGATTACCTGAGGTCTGGAGTTAGAGACCAACCTGATCAACATGGAGAAACCCTGTCTCTGCTAAAAATACAAAATTAGCCAGGCGTGGTGGTGGGCACCTGTAATCCCAGCTACAAGGGAGGCTGAGGCAGAATTGCTTGAATCCCAGAGGCTGAGGTTGCAGTGAGCTAAGATGGTACCATTGCACTCCAGCCTGGGCAACGAGAGTGAAACTGTCTCAAAAAAAAAAAAAGAGAGAACTTTCTTAATCTGATAAAGGCTATCTACCAAACATCCTACTCAATGGCAGCAAATGTCATGCTCAATGATGAAACATTAGGAAAATTTTTATTAGGCAAAGGATGAAGACACTTGCTATCACTGTTTTTATTCAATATTGTACTGGAAGTTTTAGAGAAATTCAGTAAGATAAAAAGAGACCTAAAGATTGGCAGAGGAAAATCTATCTGTAGAACAAATAAGTTAACAAAAAGCCAAGCAAGAAGTTGAGAGAAAATGTTTCTAACATACTTTAACAATAGTAACAAAAAGGAGGTATAATTAACCATAGACACTAAAGAGACTTCTAAAAATACAGTATCGAGGACACATAAAGAACTTAAACGGGTTTTAAAAAATTATAGAAATGCATATAAATTATAGGTTAATAAATGTATAATAAAGATATAATAGACACTTCGATCTGAGATCACAGAATTAAAAGTATGATTTGCAGCCATCACATGGGCAAAAATGAAGAAGATATCTCATGTTAGTCTAAACTGTAGGAAAACTCAACTCTCATAAACTACCTGTGGAACATGTAAATTAGAAGAGGTATTCTGGAGGCAAATTTAGCATGACCTATTAAAACTAAAATTCACAAGTTAAAACCAAGCAATTCCACTTTTAGGTATATATCCTTGAGAAATAGCACATGTGCACAAAAAAAACACAAAGATTTTCCTTGCAGCATTGTTGTATGGTGAAAAACTAGAAACCTAATGTCCTCAAGAGATTGGAAATAAAATGTGCGATACAGCACACATCAAACAAAATAGGATTTAACATAAAGACCAGTAAAAAGAGAGAAATATTTTAACAGATCAATTCAGTCATACAACGGAACACTATGCAGCAGGTAGAAGAAATGATCCATAAATAACATAATGAGCTATAAACAGAGCAAGTCAAAACTCCCATGCTGATGGGTAGTTGGGATCATTGTCAAGAAATAAAGCTACAGAATGATGTAGTATGATATTTTTCCACTAAAAATATGTGAGCAGGTCAAAACTCCTGTGCTGATCAGTAGTGAGATCACTGTTAAGAAATAAAGCTACAGAATGATGTAGTATGATACTTTTCCACTCAAAAAATCACAAATGTATATATATTCACCTATATAGAATATGTAACAGTATTAAAAGGTGTAAATATTAAAAAACATTTGAAAGCTCTGTATCAAAGTCTCCATAAGGAGTAGGCAGGAAGAGGAGGAGTGAGGGAACATTCCTCGTACAAGAACAGACAATTTTTTATCACATAGGAACTTTCAAGCAGGAAAAATACAGGAGGCTACTCAACTGTTTTTATGAGGTAAGTATAATCTTGACACCCAAGGAATAACTCAAGGCCAAAATCTGGATTGTGCTCTTTATCTACAAAGTACCAATTTTGTAAAAGAACACAAAAGTGTACTTCGTTTTTAAAAATTAAGCATAAATGTTCAAAAAGGAATTGCCAATTTTAAAGCTTGTTATATCATATTGTCAAACTTTCTTCCAGAAAGGTTCTACCAATTATACTTCCACCTAAGCACACTCAGTAAGTTTTATATTTTTAGACACAAGGTCTCACTATGTTGCCCAGGCTGGTCTTAAACTCTGGGCTCAAGCAATCCACCCACCTCTGCCTCCTTAAGTGTTGTGATTACAGGTGTGAACCACCTCGCTGGCCATAGCTTTGTTTTTGTTGGTTTGTTTTTGAGACGAGTCTCGCTCTGTCACCTACACTAGAGTGCAGTGGTGTAATCTCTGCTCACTGCAGCCTCTGCCTCTGGGCCTCCTGGCTTCAAGTGATTCTCCTGCCTCAGCCTCCTGAGTAACTGGGATTACAGGTGTATCCCACCATGTCCGGCTAATTTTTGTATTTTTAGTAGAGACAGGTCTCATGTTGGTCAGGCTGGTCTCCAACTCCTAACCTCAGGTGATCCACCAGCCTCAGCCTCCCAAAGTGCTGGGATTACAGGCATGAGCCACCCAGGCCCGGCCCATAGCTTTATTTTTAAAAAACTCTCACCAGCGTTCACACCTGAAAATTTTAAAACAACTGAACGGGGCAAAAGTAAAACATGTTCCCTGCAGAAAATCTGCAAAATACAATAAAGCATAAAGGAGAAAATTTAAACACCATCTCATCATCCAGAGACAACTGGTGTCAATATTTCAGAGAGTAAATGGGCTTTAAAAACTTTTACCCCTTCTTTTTCATTTTGGCAGAAAAATAATCAAGGTAGTCTGCTTTGCTTCAATGTATGGTTTCTGTTTCTAAAAATAGGCTTTAAAAACACAGCATTTCCTCTCGGCTTCTGACGTTTTAATTATAACGACAGCAATAAACATTATTAAGAACCACGGGTCAGTCACTTCTAAATACTTCACGTGTTCTTATTTAATCCCCCTAACAGTCATGTGGGTTAAATTAGCAGCTCGTTTGCTGATGAGGAAGCTAAGGCACCTCATACCGTTAAGTGGCAGACAAAATAAGGAACCAGGCAGCCTAGTTTCAGAGCCTATGCTCTGATTACCCCATCTGACCTCTTCAAAGTTACTCCTCTCTTTGGCCTCATGAGTTAATATTTACAGAGCTCACTGCAGGTTTCCACATGCCGAAGAGCACAGTATTTTTCCTTACTTACTTATTGGGCTGTGGCTGATAGCGAATCATGAAGTGTTATTACTATCTAATCTGAACTCTGTGATCTTGGGTGAATGATGCTCTTGCTGCATTTATGGGCTCGTGTAATCTTACCTGTGAAATGGGCTAGTGGTTAAACCTTCAAGTTCTGCTTCTGGGTTTTATACTGCTGTTCATTTCCTGCCGTCCCTTTGACAACCTCAGGTTCCCAGCAGCTTTGAAATCACCTCTCATTAAAGCTGCTCCCTAAGACAGACAGACAGACAGGCTGAAATGGGGGTTGAGAACTCTGTGCCCGCGGCTCCTTCTACAGCCAGGACTGCACGTGGGTGCCCAGAGAAGGGAAGCTGCAAGGGCTGGGGTCCAGTCCTTGCTCCGGCGGCCGAGGGCTCCACGGCGTTTTCAGGTCCTCCGACCGCCAGACTAGAGGAATTGTCGAGGCCACCCACGGCGGTGCCTTGGTTTCACCAGGCTCCGCTGCGTTTTCTACGCCGCCCGCCTGACCTGAGGACTGAGCTCCGCCCGCTCGCTTGGCAAGGCTGGGTTCCTCTACGGGTGGGGCTCTCCTCCGACGCCGAGCCGCTCAGCCCTCCCGGCCCCGGGTGCCCTCTGGCCGGGAAGTACTTTACCGATTACCAGCCTTTACCTCAACCACAACAGTCCTGCCCCGCCTCCGCCGGGAACAAGGGAGGGCGGAACCTCCGCCCAGGACCCACCTAAAGCGATCACTACATAGAAGGAGTCGGACTCTGGCCGTCCCACCACCCAGCCAGTAACCCATTGATTGGTCTCACTCCCCACTGGGTATTTCCTCAGAGACTCGGCGCGCTTACCTCTGGCTCCGCAGTGGCGTCCGAACGCGCCGCCTCCCGATTGGCTGTCAGCGCTCTCGGTTTGACTCGCGCTCTCTGGCTGGGCCAATGGGGTTACTCGTAGTCGAGAGGCCGGCATCACTTGTGTAGTAGCGCGACTGTTTCCTCCAGTAGGTTCGGGGCTGCCATCTTGTGTGTGGCTGGGACTGCGCTTAGGGATTGAAAACTTACGCGGCTTGCCGTAGTGGAGGGGTCCCGGGAAAACGCTGAGGTAAAGGAGAGGCCTAAGGGAGGAGACCCGGCGCCTTCTCACTCGCGGAAATGATGGGTTTCCTGGGCCTGAGTCTCATCCCTTGCTAGAGAGAGCGAGGGATGGTGGTAATAGTAGAGATCCCCGGCTTTGGTTTGTTGGTCATTGTGGGAGCTGGGCGGGGTCTTTGATGCCTTAACATTAATTCCTTGATTCCAAAGTGCTCTTTCTGGAATCTTTGTCTCGCAAAGATTCCGACCATCAACCCCTTTTGACAAAAGAGTCTAGCTGATGCACTGCCTGATTGAAAAAAGGAACAATGCTGGTAATAGAAGGGGTGTGCCTCACTACTATCCTCAGATTCAAAAGAGACTTCCTCTTTTGACATGTTCGAGGGAGCGGCGGCTAAACTGTTTGCTCTTCGCGGGAGGTTACTCTGACTAAGGCCATTCTGTGGTAAGAGTGGGTGTCAAGTTCTGCGTGTGGGCAAGATTGTTCATTAGCGGGCAGCCAAGCATTCCTGCAGCTGTCTTTTTTTCTTTCTTTTTTTTTTTTTTTTTTTAGCTAGAAAGTTGTGGTCTTGCAGAAAACAGGGGACGTGAAGGAAGAATTTTGTCAAATCTTGATTTCCCTGGTGTCGTTACGATGAAGATCTATAAATCTCTGGGTCTGCCATGACATGCTTGGTCGCTTCATGGAGCAGGAGGAGGCTTTGTTAGGGAAACCACCTTAATTTCTGAGCTCTTTTTGAGGTGGGAGGAAGGAGATAGAATTAACCTCTTTTTCCTTCCTCTTTTTTTTTTTTAATTGTAGTGGACGGCATGCATTGTCTTTCATTTGAGGAGAAAATATATTGGATCTGAAAACCACGCTGATGAAAGACTAATATTTTGTGGTAGATTTAGCAGTTTGACATGCATGAAAAGAAAGTCGATATATTATTGCCTTGAGCTTAGTTTTCAGTTATTCAGGATTAACTGATGAACAACTGAATCAACAATACATGATATAGACATCTCACATCAGGAATACCAAAACAAAACAAACAGTAACATAATTGATGGGTTTGTTTGTTTTTTGAGATGGAGTCTCACTCTTATGGCCCATGCTGGTTTGCAATGGCGCAGTCTCAGCTGTCTGCAACCTCTGCCTGTCGGGTTCAAGTGATTCTCCTGCCTCAGCCTCTGGAGTAGCTGGGACTACTGACATCAGCCACCATGCCCTGCTAGTTTTTGTATTTTTAATAGAGATGGGATTTCACCATGTTGTCCAGGCTGGTCTTGAATTCCTGACCTTGGGTGATCTGCCCTGCTTGGCTTCCCAGAGTGCTTGGATTACTGGCGTGAGCCACTGCACGGGGCCTAATTGATGTATTTAAAATTAATTTTGGGCAGGGCTCCATGGTTTATGCCTGCAATCCCAGCACTTTAGGAGGCCAAGGAGGGAGGATTGCTTGAATCCAGGAGTTCAAGACCAGCCTGGGCAACAGCGAGACCCCTGTCTACAGAAAAACAAACAAACAAAAACAAAAATGTAGTGGCATGTGTGACATGGTGAAAGGCCCCATAAAACTACATACCTCAACCATACCTCAGCTTTCTGTTGAAACTGCTATCTATAACCCAAATGTGAATAAGTAATCAAGGACTGTGATCCCCACCCTACCCAGACAATGTGTAGACGAATGCTAATCTTAGCTTTTGTGAACCACTTAAGTAACAATCAGAATGTCAAATAGTCCCCTGGCCCTCGGAATGTCCAGAAACCCCTCACCCCCATCCCCGCCCCTCACCCTTATCTCCACCCAGGAGGTGATTTGCAGAATCCACTAGCCCTCAGAATGTCTGAAGCCCCTCACCCCCATTCCCAAGGTGGTTTTACGGGTATAAAAAGGTCTTGTCACCCTTCTTTCTCTGCCACGGGTTGAAGAGACGTGAGTCCTCCGTGGTTGCCGGCAATAAACCCTGCAATTTGGCATACTTTTGTCTTGGTGTTGACTTTCTATGCTCGGTCCAGTATAACACATGTGCCTATAGTCCCAGCTACTGGGGAGGCGGAAATGAGGGTTTGAGACTGCGGGAAACCAACCACTGCACTCAGCCTGGGCAATCGAGTGAGATCCCAACTCAAAATAAATAAATAAATATCAAATAAATGTTTAATTCCTTTTTTATTGAAGAACCTTATAAAACCCAAGTTGCAAGAATTCAATTATCAATAAAGTAGTGTTGATTTGATAGCTAAAGTACATGTCCATAAAAGTTATCAAGATCAAGTGAAAGATCCTGAATAAGAAACATCAGTAACAGTAGGAGGTCACTGCTAGATAATGCTGATGTTTAGCATGTAGATACAGATGCTAAAATATTTGTATCTCATTCACCTAAATAGTGCCTGGCATACATTGGATAATATAATTGTTCGATGAGTAAGTAAGAGAATGCAGTAATTGGGCGGTATGAATATACCTTTTTTTTTTTTTAGCCTAACCAAAATAATTATTAAATCTGCTTTCTGGAAAGCTTGACTTTCAATTTGGATTAAATTTATTATTGCATCCAGTTTAAACATACAAATAATGTTAAGGCTAGGTTTGTAATTGTTGGTCTTTGCAAAAAATTTTTAAAGGAAGAAAATTTAGATAACTAAGGTGAGTCCTCAAGCAATAATGCTCTATTTGCCATTGTTTTCTTGAAGGCATATACAATCTTTTTTTTTTTTTTTTTTTTTTCTGGAGACAGAGTCTTGCTCTGTTGTCCAGGCTGGAGCCTGCAGTGGTGCCATCTCGGCTCGCTGCAACCTCTGCCTCCCAGGTTCAAGTGATTTGTGTGTCTCAGCTTCCCAAGTAGCTGGGACCACAGGTGTATGCCACCACACCCAGCTAATTTTTGTATTTGTATTTTTAGTAGAGATGGAGTTTCACCACGTTGGCCAGGCTGATCTCAAACTCCTGACCTCAAGTGATCCGCCCGCCTTGGCCTCCCAAAGTCAATATGGGCATCTTCTATGTGATTAAGATTTAAAACTTCAAATCCTTACCTTTATCTTTTGTCCAACTGGGTAGCTTCAGTCTCCAAAATGCCTTTCCTTTTCATCTTTCTATCCTCACTGCCACTGCCTTAATTTAGCTACTACTTTTCTTTTTTTTAAAAAAATTTTAGGCTGGAGTGGTGGCTCACGCTTATAATTCCTGCAGTTTGGAGGCCAAGGCCAAGGCCAAGGAATTGCTTGGGCCCAGGAGATAGACACCAGCTGAGGCACCATAGTAAAACCCTGTCTTTACCAAAACTATAAAAAGTTAACCAGGCATGGAGACATGTAGTCCCAGCTACCTGGGAGGCTGAGGTGGGAGGATCACCAGAGCCCAGGAGGTTGAGGCTGCAGTGAGCCATGATTGTGCCACTGCACACAGAGCAAGACTCTGTCTCAAAAAAAAACAAAAAAAATTTAAATAAAAAACATTTTATCATTTCTAAGAGCCAAGAAATTGAAAAAAAAAAAAAAAATCTTAGTGCTCCCTTAGCAGCACATATACTAAAATTGGAACTGTATGGAGAAGATTAGCATGGCTCTTCTGCAAAGATTACATGCAAATTTGCAAAGCATTCTGCATTTAAAAAATCAAACATTTTATATGACATTGTATTATTGACAAAGCCCACACTCCTCAGTTTGGAATTTCTATTAGTTAACATACAGGTTTGGCTGCTGTGATGGAGAAATATAAAAATAATTATTACTTTAATACAGTGTTTTTCCAGTGGAAGAATATGCTCTGATGAGGTGGCTTTGCTTAACACAGTTGTCAGGGTCATGCTCCTAGCATATTGCTCTGCCATTCTTATGATGAAGCTCTATCTTGTGGACCAAGATGACTGCTTCACATCCCATGATAGCTAGTCTAATAATGAGCATACCATCCCCTCATTGATGAATGGAAGGCTCACATTTTAAGATGACTATGGGCCAGGGAGGTTCCACCTTTCTTAGCTGAAGTTGATACCAAAGTGATAAATGAACCTCAGTGCTTCTTGTGTCCCCGTACCCTGGGGATAGGCCAGAATCAGATGCCATCAGGGACCCTGCAGACAATTCTGAGATTTATTTTAGGAAGTCAGTTCAGTGAGTTGGTAATCGTTTGACACTGCAGGAAGGGTGAACTGCTTTCTAGCCCTTCTGCAGCCACCCACTCCCCCTGCCTTTTGATGACACAGGTTCTGCAAAAACTGAGGGGGAGGAGAGGGTGACATGCATTTCTTGTAAAAATGCCTTAATGAGAAAAGGGACACATGCATTTCTTATAACAACATGTCAACAAGAAAAACAACAGCAGCAGCAGAAACAGCAACAGCAAATATTTACTGAATCTACTACTATGATCCAAGTCCCCAAATCAAGAAAACGTGAATGCTGGTGGAAAACAGGAAGGTATTTGTTCAAACTGCCTGACCAATGTTTTTGAGGAAAACAGAGATCTCCAGAGACCCCCCCTTTTTTTTGTCCCAGGTAGCAAGCAAATGAAGAACTCATAAAATATGCAGTATTTATTTGTGGTGTCTCCAAGCAGAGTAGTTGGCTCTCGTTACATATCTGGTAGAATAATCGATGATTTATGCTCCTGATAGCCTTATCATAGCTGTTACATAATGGTCATGTGTATTTGTGACTGTTTTATAACCCTGTGTATAACCTTCCTATTTAAATAGATTACAGTGTTTAGCTGTTGTGACTTTGCTTGTTTAATCACAGCGAAGACTTTTCTGAAGTCAAATAACTTTTTCCATTATCGCAGTGAGGCGTTGGCAAAAAGTGGGGGCTTCTGGTTACATTTGCTGAAAATAAATCATGCATTTATTTGGACTCTCAAGATTGGAGCTCTGAATTCACCTAGTCCAGTGTTTATGCACCAGAGCACTATTGGCATTGCCATTGATTAGGACTGGCCTGAGCATTGCCAGAGGTTTAGCAGCCCTGACCCACATCCACCAAATGCCATTTCAATCACCCAGAAATTTCCACAACAACAGAAGCCCCACCACGTGTTGGGATGGTGGGCTGCCCTTGCCTGAGCACAGCTGATGGATCCAACCACCTGTCAGCGGTTGCATCTCCTCTTTCACACTCCTCTAAAGGGACAGGTCAGCCGGGCTCTGCTCCAGCATCCCCAGCGATGAAGAAATCACCACCTCCTAAACCCACACTGGCCTGTCCTCGTTATTAACATGTTATTTTTATGGCATAAACTCCTCCCCCGTCACTCCCTCGTTTCTGTCGCCAGACCTCATCTGTAACACAGGCCTCTGTGTCTTCTCTCCCGCATGAATGCCCTGGAGTACTTGAAAGTAGCCATTGTGTTCCTGCAGTCCTGTGACAGCCTCCCACCTCTCCTAGAAACTTATGCGTCATTGTAGGTAGGTTTGTGTTTTACAGGGAAGCACCTTTTACTTCACCTCATTTAATGTTCACACTGTGAAGCCGGGCTTAGCACTTCCACTGTAGGGATAATGCAGCGGAGCCTCAGGTTAAAGGACTCACCCAAGGCTACAATGCTAACTACTGGCAGAGCCAGAACGTGAACCTGCTCCAAATTCAATACCTTTCATGATTTTCCCAATATGCACTTCATTTTTTTTTCTTTTCTTTTTGAGACAGGATGTCACTCCTGTTGCCCAGGCTGGAGTGCAGTGGCTGATCCTCGGTCACTGCAGCCTCAACTTCTTGGGCTCAGGTGATCCTCTCACCTCAGCCTCCCGAGTAGCCAGGACTATAGGTGCGTCCATGCCTGGTTAATTTTTGTATTTTTTGTAGAGATGGGGATTTTGCCATGTTGCCCAGGCTGGTCTCGAACTCCTGAACTCAAGTAATGCGCCCACCTCGGCCTCCCAGAGTTCTGGGAGTACAGGCGTGAACCACCGCGCCCGGCACAATATGCATTTCATGTTGTCCAGCCTCTCCCTCTGATGTCCTCTTTCTTTCCGTTACAACTCCGCATGTCTCCCATGGTAGAAGGCATCAGTGGCCCTGGTGTTTCACCCTTCCCTTTCACATGTTTTGCCACTTCCATTAGCAGGTGGAACTTGTTATCCCCCTTGACGTTGGGTTCAACAGAATGAGGTGGAAATGTCCTCATGCAAGTTCCGACATGAGGCTCCAAAAGCCTGTGTGTTTCCACTTTGTGTTTCTGCCCTCACCGGACATCTGGAGCAGAGCCACCCCAGCCAGCCTAGCCGAGATCAGGTGACCCCCATCCAAACCACAGACACAGGAAAGAAACATTGGTGTTATTTAAGTGACTGCATTTCAGGGGGCTGGTTATGCTGCAGTTGCTAAGCGATACATTTCTCCAACATTCAAAAAGCTTCCCTTACCCCACGGGGTTCCTTTCCCTTCATTACTTGGAAGCCTGTGCTAACTTTCTCAACATCCCTCCTATTTATTCCACAAACCATTGCTGTCTTTCTGCTCCCCCTCCAGCACGTGGAGGAAGGACTGGTGTGGGGGAGAGCGGACGGACAGGGAGAGTGGACAGGTGTTGCAGGAGCCCAGGCGAAAGGCGATACGGCCCAACAGGGCATCAGGGTTATCAGAATCCCCTGTCCCGGCACCCAGGCTTCTACCTGCAGAGCTGGAGTTTGTTTGCAGACCTTGGTACAGAACTTACATTTATCATTATTAAACCTAGCCATGGTCAGATTGAACCCAGCACTTCGGCTTGTCCTACTGCTTGTTAATTTTGTTTCATACACTAATTAGGCATCGCTCTCAGAGACTGATGTCACGCAGGCATTTATTTGATCAATGTGTTACTTGTGTCCCATCCAAAGTCATAATGTGACTAGAAGGAGCCCCGTGGAAACACAGTAAAGACTGTTACTTATTTTGGCCACCAGAGGACAGCATGTCCCAGAAATTGATGCAGGTGCCACTTGGACATGAAATTAGGAAATGTGAACACTGTTGGATTTTATGGAGTTTGGAG